AAAGAAAGTACAACAAAGCAACAAAAAAGAGTAAAGTTCAGGAACTCCTCAGAAGGACCCAAACCTAGAGAAATGCAACTAGCTAGCAAATCAGTAAAGTCCTTCTAGACATTATTAAAAACCATAAAACTGCCACATGTTATAATTAAACACCCATCACAGGATTTCTAAGAAATTAACTTATCATGAGCATCTAGCTTTCAACTCTTGTTATTCTTTCTCATTGATGTCCTGAGCATGCATCTACTATATCTGTATAACTAAATAACAAACTACATAAATCACATGTTATTAAAGCAAAGAATTTGATTTTATTTAAAACAATATTCAACAGTGATAACTGTTAAATCAACAACAAGATCTAAGTCTGATTCCAATATATTTGAGGAAGTACTAACATGATTATAGTGATCTTTTTCTGAAGAATCATCATTGGTAGACCTCAAGTCCTATTCATAATATATCCCTAGGTTTATATTTGCCATTGCACAGCTCTTATTAACATAAATATAGTTAAGACCATTATTCAGTTGATTTCAGGCAATTTCATGTCTATTCTATATCCATTAAAACCTCAGAAAAATCCCAGCAAGTTGGGAGGGTGAGGCAGGAGTATTAGTTCAAAGCCAGCCTCAGCAAAAGTGAGGAACTAAGCAACTCAGTGAAACCCTGTCTCTAAATAAAATATAAGAAATAGGGCTGGGGATGTGGCTCAGTGGTCGAGTGCCCCTGAGTTCAATCCCAAGCACCAAAAATGAAAACAAAAACAAAAACAAAAAAAAATCCTCAGCACTAATAAATGTAAGAAAGTACCTTTACAAATTCTCTGTATATGATAATAATTTTTCTATAGTTAGTCACTGTTTTTCCTTCATAAAAATATATACATAATTATTTCCTGATAATCTACTTTTCTTTCTGTTTGTGGCCTAGATGATATATCTATTTAAACAGAGCATGATACTTCATTAAACAATACTGGACAACAATGCTTATGATTCTGATAAAGCAATTCAAGTTTCATCCCCACACCTGTAACCTTCCATTCATCCCATCAGTATATGCTTATCTAGTTTGTAAATTCTACATTGAGACAGTTTTAGAATAAGATGTGTTTTGAGTAGGTAAACGCTAAATTTTGGTAAAATCAATAGTTTGGAGAAATACTTGCCTAACCAGGTACCCACAAGTATCCAGGGAGATGGGGTATGGCTAGACACAAAACATTTGTGTAAAGACTAGAGGAAAAGACTAGTAAGAATCTCTGTCCTTCTTCCCAAGTTAGGAGGGATGCAGAAAAAGAGGAGACAAAAAATAAATAGCCATAGGAAGATTTGGAGAACCAAAGAACTGAAGAGACCTGTGCCCTACTTTACAGATGAAGATAAAAAGAAAGACAGGTAGGGAAGTTCTCCACTGCCATGCCAGCAAGGTGCTCTAGAAATAAAGGAGAAAAAGTCACCAATGTGCCTAGGTAATGAGGACCTCACTATCTTTTATGGTTTGCATATTAGGTGTCCCCTAAGAGCTCATGTGTGAGGCAATGCAAAAATATTTACAGGTGAAATTATTGGCTTATAAGAACCACAATCCAGTCAGTGAATTAATCCCCAAATAGGGATTAACTGAGTGGTAGCTGGAGGTGGGTAGAATGCAGCTACAGGAGGTAGGCATTAGGATTGTTTTTGGGACATATCTCCACCACACACTTCTGCCATGATGTTCTGCCTCACCCCAATCACTGAGCAATGGAGCTGGCTGTCTATGGACTGAACTTCTGAAACTGTGAGCCGCAAATAAATTTTTCCTCCTCTAAAATTGTTCTTGTCAGGTCTTTTAATCACAGCAGCAAAAACAACAACAACAAAAAGCTAACTAAAACACTATCACATAGACTATCCCAGAATTTTAGGGCTGCCTGACCCTGTGACCAAAGGCCACTAAAGTTAACAGGCAGTTGACACCTGGGAAGGGTACCTGTCATCTTAGCATTTGCTGTGAGTACTCTTGTACTGAAGAGGCCAAAAGCTGCAATAAGTCCATGAATATAACAGTGAATTCAGTGGCAATAGAGGCAAATAACCCAAAAGGTAGAAGGTAAGTCACATCTTAGCAGAGTCCAAGAGTCCAAAGAGGGTGACTATGAACCAAACTATTCCTCCTATACCACCATGCTACACAAAAGTTTGCTGCAACTCAGGTGCTACTAATTAAAAGGGAAGGAAAATATAAATATAAAAATAATAAACATAAATACAAATATTTATATGAATATTCATATTTGTATAAGTCAAGAAGTCATAATTTAAACCTAATTAGAGAAAATAAAAACTTACATACCCTTTCTACCATTTCCAATCTGGGCTGGGGGCGAGAGGCTGAGTTGGCATATGGGCGTGTGCACATCTAACAAAGTCTATCTCAGTCATGTGTCCAGGATGTGATCCCTTTGTGACTTGCAGCCTAGGCCCAACAATAATCTTTCCACAACCCTCTCAATATGGAATCCAATCATGCTCTGAAAACCCGGTCCTTCATACAGCAGGGCTCCAACTGCACACCAGTTACCCATTGCTGATCATCTGCTCCCCTCTCTGCACTGCAGAGGATTACCTATTATTTGATTCCAGACAAGCTCAGCCTGACAAATAGCAATGTGTCTGCTATTTGGTGATCAAACCACATCTTCTCCAATGTCCTTCCATGGACACTCTCTCAACCCTATGTTACCAAAAAGAGTTTCCTTATAATTTATTGTTACTCTTTATCACAATAAATAATTTTTAAATTTTCTATTTATTTATTTATTTTTAATTTTTATTCATTTATTTTTAGTCATACATGACAGTAGAATGTATTTTGACATATAATACATACATGGAATGTACATACATCAATCATATTGTCTATTCTATTCTGCTGCCCTTCCTATCCTCCCCACTCCTCCCCTCCTCTCCCATCCTTTCTCTCTATCCAATCTAATGTGACACACTTTTTTTTCTTTTACTCATTACAACATCATATATGTAATCTGTATAACAATGAGGTTCTCCTTCCATCTTCTGTGCAACTCCCCTTCTCCCTCTTTTTTCCTCCCACCTCTCTTCCCTATTTAGTGGTAGTCTTCTTCTCATGCTCTTCCTCCCTATCCCATTTTGAGTCACCCCTCCTTATATCAGAGAAGACATTCGGCATTTGTTTTTTAGGGATTGGCTAACTTCACTTAGCATAATCTGCTCTAATGCCATCCATTTGCCTGCAAATGCCATGATTTTATTATTTTTTAGTGCTGAGTAATATTCCATTGACAATAAATAATTTTTATGTTAAACGTCATCTTCTTAATCTACTGGATGGTTCCTGTCTCCTGATTAGACCATGAATGTCACATTCACCTCATCTCAAAATCTAAGTCCATCACTATTTCCATTTTCTGCACCGATGTGTTCCTTAAAAATCACCATATATTTTCTATTCCTGGACCATTTCCAACTACTAGTGTCTCTTGTCTACATAGAAGATTTGGGGCAACCTTAGATCTACTCTATAAACCTTTCTTTAAAAACACCATTTAATTTGTCAACTCAAGAACACATACAGTTTCTTTCATTTCTATCAGACTGAGGATGAATTCCTTCCCCAAAATGTTACGGGCCTTCATGATCCATGTGTCTAATCCAGCCCTGCTCTTAGCCTCTGCTAAAAATCATGTAGTATCCCTCCCTCACCAGGCCTAATCCCATTGCTGTGTGTCTGTGTTCATGTTCATTTCCCCTTTTTGCCCACTTATCCCAGAAGCCTCTGGACCCAGTTTTAAAAGCTTCTAGTCAGGGTGGGTCCACATCTGTGGCACATAGCTATAATCCCAGAAATTTGGGAAGCTGAAGCAAGAGGATTGTAAGTTCAAGTTCAGCCTCAGCAACTTAGTGATACCTTGACTCAAAAATAACAAATAAGAAGGACTGGGGATGCAGCTCAATGGCAAAGCATGCCTGGTTCCAATCCCCAATAAAATAAAAATGAATAAAAGTCTCTACAAGTCCTTTGTGGGTAATTCTTCCTATATTTTTGTCTGTTATGTCCTATCACATAATTAACATCTTATATCTGTTTTAGTTTCCTACACACTCCAGGCTTAACCCTATGACACATTCTCACTAATTAACGTGTTCATAATGTACTTCTCTGACTTATTTTTAATTATGCCTTATATTTCTTATGCAACTCTCACAGGTCTTGCATAGTATTAAGCTCAATGTTCAATGATGGGAAAATCAGATTAAGTTAAATGATTTAATTCAAAGTAACAGTTACATAGAGGGCCATGGCTAAGCTATGTAAAACTTTTCTACAGATTAGAAAAAGGCACCCCTTCTTCCAGACAGATGCAGTTTCAAACCCAGTTACATGTCATGGCAAATGGTGTCCAGGGAGAATTTCATTTCAACCCCATGAAACTGTACACAGAAGTGCTGGATGCATGAATACAACACTGATTTTAAGAAGAGTCAACTGTATTACAAAAACCTTTAAAAGTGATTGTCTCTTACATTTCCTTTGGAATTTTATTCTACCATATATTATTCTAATCCAGGACAATGTCTTATAGGTTGAGCATTAAATTAGCTACACAGAAGATTTCATGCTGTAGTAGCTATTGTGGTAGAATTTCTATTCATAGCTAATATTAACTCAAGATCTAATTATGCGAGGCCCTGAAGCTAATTCTAGAGATATAAATGGGATACCTGATTCACGATGCTTAAATCTTAGAGAAATGTTCCATATTTAGAAGGATGTCATTTTCTTTTCTTTTTTTAATTAGTGGATTTTAATTTTAAGAATAATGGGTTTCATTGTGGCATATTTGTACATGCACATAACATATTCTGATCATATCTTTCCCCTTCCCATTACCCTCCCCTTCCCACTCTGCCAGATCCCCTTTCTCTTCTCTAAGAGTCTCCTAGAAGAATATCATTTCTTAACATTATACTTACTGATAAACTTGTTTTGCATAGTCTCCAACAGAGCTTGGTGAGCATCTTCAGCTTGTAAAGCATGTGAACATTCTCTAGCCAGTATGGTGCGCACAAGATGCTCTCCACATCCTAGAAGTCCAAGGAAACCAACAACAGTTGAAGAAAAGTAGTATTGAACACCCTGCTTGTCTCACTAGCATTAAAACAACCTTGTACACCACTTAAGAAGTAGTCATATTGTAGAACAACTCAGTGAGGGATGAAATGATGTCTATGAGCAACCTGGTAATTTCAGTAATGAGAACCAGAAGAAATTAAAGAAACAGATGATTGTCTAATCTCAAAAGAAAATAAAGGAAAACTCTTTTCATAGCAATAATTTGCATAATACAGGAACACAGATTCTCCATCTAGAAATTTCCTAGAGTTTTGTTGCTAAGAGCCACAGCCAAGTAATATGATGCATGGCATTTTTGGTTGAAAGGTAACACCAGCAAGCCATTGAGATGATATGATTATGTTAAGATCTGCATTCATATGGATATTGGACTCCTGCTGTCCACCTCTGCCTGCTACGGGACTCCTGGAGAGTTCCCATTGGTTGGGGAAGTGCGGTAGGAGGGAATTCCGGAGGAGGGACTTCCTGTTGGGGTCCGGGAGAACACCATGTGGGTCGGTCGGCAATCTTCCCGGGAGCATACGGGGCATTGGCGGCAGTTTCAAAAATAAAGTTTGTTCCTGCTTGAGTGGCTCGTGATTTTGTCTCATTCCCACTCTTGGGTGACTAAAATGATCCCATTTTATATTTATTTGTTTGCATTCAGTTGGCCTTTGTCTCATAGTCAGTAAATGGTCACTATGGCCATCAGTCATTTTCCTTCTAATACCCCACTTGCCAGGGTGTAAAGGGAGAGATGTAGGCAGCCAGGGGCAGTCTGAATCCCACCCCTACCTACTTTTTACTACAATGCCATCACACATCAATAGCAATAGAGTGGATGCAATAAAAGAGCACTTTTATATCTTTCTTACAGTGATTTACATAACTTTCTGGGATTCTCTCTGTGGTTCTAAAGAAAAAAGTACATTTTAACCCTGAGATGAACTTGGACCATTCAGACACTTAAGTAAGGGCAGGTATAGGGATAAGGGTGTCGCTGCCTAGAATTCTAGTACAGTTTCTACCTGTTAAAATAGAAACTACCTTAACACAAAGACAAAAGAATTTGTAGATTATGAGTTCTAATTAAAGATTTATGAAAAAAGAGCCTTTCTTGCTCCTAAAAATACAAATTTTTAAAAGTTTACTTTGAAAAATATTGGGGGAGCAAGACTTTAAAAGAAATACTGAATGCCACTTGAAAGACTTCTTACATACAAAATTTCACTAATTAAAGTATCAGTATCTCTGACCCAAACAAGAGCAATAGATGCATAAGATCTTTACAAAGTTTTCTTTCTTTTAAAGTGTTTTTCTTTCTTTTAAAGTGGATTCCTGTACAAAGTATTGTTAGTGTATTAGAAAATCAAGTCCTCCACTTATTCACCTAACAAAGGCAACAAATGATCTAAGCATCTAAGAAGACTATAAGAGAAACATGTCTCAGCTCTATCCTTTAAAATAAAAAAAAATCACAGCAAAAGATAGAGTATTTCCAAGATCCACTCAGATTCCCAAACAGAACCAGGGACAATATAGTATTTATCCAAGTCACTGATCTGCACATATGTACCCCCCCCACACACACATACATACACACACAAATGTGAGAGAGTGTTCTTAGCAATCAAAAAGAAATGTGAACTAAGATTATTAAATAAAACAACCTATTTTTTAAATGGCTAAAAATTCTTAATTTCATATATTTAAACAAACACAAACTGATATGATACTAGTACTGTCTTTAGATAGCATGTATTGTGATGGACTTTAGGCACCAACAACAGTTTTCCATAAGAAATATTATCTGTAATTGTTAAGCCTTTCATTTCAGAAATTTTCTTTATATTATATATACACATACACACACACACACACACACACACACACACACATATATATATATATATTTATATACCTCTCCTCCTCTTCTCTTCCTTTATCTCCTTCCCTATATATACATGCACATATATAGACACACATGTGTGTATATTATGCATATACACCACATACACTCATTACCAAAAATACCAACAGTTCATAAAAGTGCAAAGGTTTTTTTTTTAATCACCTAAAGATCTAAATATTTCTTTGTGTACATCTATACTTAGATGAAGATCTAATATGTAATTTAATACACAACTTTGTGGAAAGAATTATAGCAATTGATATTTTGTTAATTTTTAGAATATTATTTATATAAACAAGAAAAAGATGACAATAAAGCTAATAGGAAAAAACATGTTTGACACTTACTACATAGAGACATTATGCGAAGCTCATGAAACTCCACAAATTTTAATTCCCTTTGTTGCACATATTTGATGTTGAACAGTGAAATGTTATACTTTAAGACAATAATAATTGTTAGGAAATTGGCATACTACACGTTAAATGAATGTTCAGAAGGTTATGTACACGTGCTTCAAGTCAAACAGCTAAACCACATGAAGTTAACATTACATAAAACTACACAATATGTGTCAGGGAGACAGTTTTCCCCTGTTGTTACATAGGAATATATAGGGTTTTCCAATGATTAACTTTTACTAATAAACTCTTAAAATTATGACTTATGTTCTCTGAAATATATTACTTTTAACATAACAGCCAAGACACCAAAACCTTATTCTCCTACAGATTTCAAACAAAGAAAATTTGACTTCTGTGGTTTTACCCACAAAATTCCAAAGTTTGTTAAAATATGTTAACACAGAATTGAAATGTGACTGAAAGGCAAAAATCTCATTCTTTATTCACAGATATTAGAAATCTTTCATTACATCCTCTTTTTGTCTTTATTTATATAGGATGAAATATGTTTATATTCTTACATACTAGCAGGAAACATGGATTATACATGTAACAAAGATCTGACAACAAATCTAGAGAAAAAGTGATGAAAACCAAGTTCTGAAAGCACTTAGAAAAGTACACACTTGTTTGAATGACAAACTAATGAATTGAAACAGACAGCAAATTCATAATTTGTGTTTTTAAAAGCCTTAGTTATCTTTGGAGGATGCTATAGAACCAACTGACCATTCTGAAAACTGTTAAATTAAAGAAAATAATCAAGCACTTCTAAGTCCTTCCTATAGGAACTACACAGCCAGGTAACCAAAGAGTTTATGAAAGAAAATTTCCTCTACAGAAATATCCCAGGTAATATATGAAGCATAAATCAACAGAATAAGTATTTGTAACCTGTAATGTAATAGACAACAAATATTAATGATTGATAATATTATAAAAGGATACAACCTGGCTTCATGGAGCTACACAATTGAACCTATATAGTCTTGTCAACTACAAAAACGATTACAGTTGAATCTGAACAAGTCTCTAAAATGAAGTACTAAAGAAATAAAGAATAAACTCCCGCAGTTAACATCATGTTTAATTATTTCTTTCTCCCTAATATCAAAAACAAGGTAATGTTCCCTGTTTTATCTCTTCAACAATAAACTAGAGATTGGAACCACTGTAGTAAGCCAAGAAAAATAAATAAAAGGCATAAAGATTAGAAATGAAGAAATAAAACGATTCCTATTTGCAGATGATATAATTGTTTATGTAGAAAATCCTAGGAGATCTATAGAATAAGTACTAGAGGTATTTCTCCACATTCTTCGTATCTGGATAGTAGTCTATGACAAAGATTGGCTATGGACACCAGTCTGGTACTTGTCAGTCCCCAAAATGTGTGTCTAACCTTCATTTCTTTCCCTATTCATTCATTCAACAATCCATTATTGAGCTCCTACTCTATACTAGACCCAAAGTAGTTCGCAGGCATGCTCCTACATATTGTTAGACCTCCCCAAAGATATCAGACCTGTTTGGTTATTGAGTACTCACACAACTCTTAATTCTGGCCAGTCCAGATGCTAGTTCCCTGATTCAGGGATTCAGATGAAAACCCTGAACTCAGCAAGAACCCTAGACATTATTCTCACAGAACTCTAAGAAACATTCTCTATAGCCAAGACACCTCCTCTTAATTGCAACTCAGCCCAGTTTCATAGCTCGCTCTCTTCCAATGTGCTTCCTGTTGTTAAAAATGCCGTTATATCCTATATCATTGTTTGTGAGGATCCATAACCTTTCATAGCCCTCACTGAAGATGAACTTTCAATAAAATATTGCAACACTCTCCAACACACTGTCCAAAACATATACACACACACCCAATATGAGAGAATGAGCATATGAAAAAAAAAGGATTATTATACCCATAATTGCAAATAACAGCACAGAGGTTGCCAAACTACTCTGTAAAGGGCTAAATAGTAAATATTTAACTTTTTTCAGTTATATGTGATCTATGTTTGTCAAATCTTCTCTCTGTCCCCTTCTCTTTGTAACAAATCTTTTAAAATTTAAAAATCAGTCCTAGCTCATGGGTCATACGTGGATAGAGGAGGGGGGTAATTAAAGGTAAAAGGGAGGGTAGACACAAAGTATGTTAAACATGTATGAAATTGTCACAAAACCCATTATTTTGTACAATCAATATGTAATAACAATTACAACTTAAAAATTAAAAGCATCAGTGCCCTGTGCCAGATTTGGCCCATAGATCATAGTTTCCCTATAATTAAATAATCTGCAATGCAATTTTTTTTAAAAAAAAGAAGAAGAAGCATGATCATAATTTTAAAAACAAAGCCTCAAAACAGGTAAGGGCATAGGAGGTGTCTAGATTTTTCAAGACATCTAATAGATCTCCTCAAATTTAAAAATACATAGATTGTTTAAAACTCAATGCATGTACCAAGCATTAAATTAGATGGAGCTCAAGAAAAGAACTAGAAGATAGTTCCATGGAAGAAATGCTAAGAAGCAGTTTGGAATGATAAAAGGAAAATAAGTAGTTAAGAGCCCTTAAGTACAAAATGAGAATGTCTAATGTATTAATAGCTATTTTTAAAGAGAGAAGAAAATAAATGGAGAAGGGGACACTAAC